TACTTTGGGATTTTATCTTATACCCATAGGAATGGCTAAAATCAATAAAGAAGTCACAGCTCATGCTGGTGAGGATGTGGCATAATAGGCATATTCATCCATTACTGGTAGTACAAATGGGTTTCTCAGAAAAATGGCAATCAATTTACCTTAAGACCCAGGTATACCACTCAAGCATATACCCAAAGGATACTCTGTCTTACCACAAGGACAGTTGCTCAACCATGTTCATTGTTGCTCCAGTCATAACAGACAGACACTGAAACAATCTAGATGTCCCTCAACAGAAGAATGGATGAAGAAAATGTGGTACGTTTATACAATGGAGTACTACTCATCTGTTAAAAAAATAACATCGTAAAATTTGCAGACATATAGATGATGAAACTAGAAAAAAATTATCCTGAGTGAGGTAAACCAGACTCAGAAAGATAAACGTGGTATGCATTTATGTATATGTATATACTTGCTGTTAAATGATAACCGAGTTACAATCTGTACACCCACAGAGATTAGATATATTAGACACATGGGTCTCCTAGGGGAGGGTGAGTTTAATAGATTTAATGTGTGGACTGAGTATAGGGTTACTGGAATGGGAGAATCCAGTGGAGAGGGGAAGGGGTACGGAGTTGAGGGGAGGAAATGTAGGGAGAGACAGCTAGAACCGAGGGACATTTAAGGGGTGGTACAGAAACCTAGTGCAATGGAAACTTCCTAAAATATACAAAGGTGATCCTAATGAAATCTCCAAATAACTGGAAACACACACAAAAGCAACAGTATGCAAGCTGAGCAGGTTGTATTTGTGTATTTTTAGAATACATATAAATATACATGTATGTGTATAGCAAAAAGTAATAGAAAAACAGGACATGAATTTAAAGGAGTGTGGGGAGAGGTACATAGAAGTATTGAGATGGAGAAAAGGGAAGGGGTGATGATAAAATATAATTTCAAAAATATAAAAGAAATAATTAAAAAGTTAGTGAGATTACTAGTGTCTCAATTGTGTAATAATAATAATAATAATAATAATAATACCCTGGGAAAATGAGCTTCATGTCACAAGGTAATAAGTGGCCATGCCAGGCTTTGAAAGCCACTATGTGACCTTCTTCCCATGAAGACAGGGGGTTGGGGATCTATGCATGGTCTCTGATGTGCAGTGGTCTGGACAGGGTTTTTCTAATAAAAAGGAGCTGGGCAGGAGGAGGCAAAGGAGGAAGAAGGAGAAGGCACAGAGACCCCCCCCCCCCCACACACACACCAAATCTGAGCAGACTAGAACAATGACTGAATTGCCTAGAAACCTGCAGGGCAATCACAACACATCCTCCAGAAAAGAAACTGAACAAGGAATTTCTCTTGGGAAATGCTTGTGAAACCCTCAAGCTAGACTGTAAGATGTACATGGTTCTTACCTACTTTGTTTGTTCATTTGTTTCATGAATGTGAAGGCATTGAAAAGTACTAATTAGTTAGAAACAGAATGCACACTCAAAAACATACATGTGTTCACATAAATTCCTACTAGTAGTTAGATGACTCCAGGGCCTTACACATACAAAGCAATGACCTGAGCCCCTGATCTTTTCCAGGAGGACAGTGGGCTTTGTTTATCTTACAGGATTATTTGCAGACACTTTGAGCCTGGGGGTGAATGCCATCAAAAGAAGATGCAATAAATAGCATGGAAAGCAAATATTCTTTGACAGTTTCACTAAATTTCATAAACGTTAAATAAGATGTAAATAGTCAATAATCTTCAAATGAACTAAGATGTTTTTACGACAGTAAGTTACCATCTACCTGCTTGCAAATTAATAAAACAATTACTGAGGCAATTTATAAGACAAAAGTTTAAGACAAGTTGAATGAGTATAATACTTGTTAATTTCATTGGTGCTTCCCAACCTTTTTGACAGCACTGGCTGCCCTGGAAACTTCTTTATAGACCAGGCTGGCCGTGAACTCAGATTCCCTAATTTTGTTTTGTTATTTTCATATCATACTTTTGAGTAGAGGTCAACTCGTACATTGGGGTCCTAACACTGAACTCAACACAAGATTTCATAAATAATTACAAGAAAACCTCTACTAAGTGAAATGCAGGCTTTATTTTATTTTGACAATCTTGGTTATCCTGACTGGGTATCCCTAATGTAGAAAAAAAATTCACAATTTCAAATCTGTAAAATTGAGAGCTGAGGAAATATTTTCATACGAGTTTCACCACACTGAGGGAGAATCCAGTCTTCATTCTGGAAGGGAGATAAGCAGCCCCGTGTCTTCTTCAACACTATCACTTTTTTCTTTTTTTAAAAAGAGGGGAAGCTGAGGTCCCAACTGTACCTTCTGGTCTCAGTTATCCACTTCTTTCTGTCCACATGCCACTCAACCCCTTACTCTTCGCTAAGCCTTAAGAACTCCTGGGCAGTCTGTCAGCTGCAAGGTGCATTCTCCCTTTCCTCCCACTGATAAGGAGGCATATTTATGGTGTGTGAGTCAGCCTGTCTGAGTCACATGAGACCATCAATATTAATGTGATTTGAGGGAAAAGACACAGCTTAGTGGCGTCTCTGACATGCCATCTATAAAATTCTGGATATCTACCTACCCACCACATGCTTTCTGTATGCTTCCTCACCCTATTCTATGCTCCCCAGAGGCTGAACTGAAGGATCTCCAATAGAGTTCCCTGGTTTCAAGTTGGGTTTGGCCAAGGGAGACACTAACCAAAATGAGAGTGAAAAAAAGAAAACCATGCCTCCTTTCCAGATAGACAGATGCAGCCATGGTGCTCAGGGGGCTTCAACACCACTTTCTGCTGTAACCCCATGGCAGGGAAGTGGAGAAGTGATGTTGCTAGCCTGGAAATGTTTCACATCCTTAACCACAGTTTCAGAAACATCACCTCATTAAACTCTCCAATCACCTAATTGAGTTGTTCTTTATCCGCTGTTAGGATTCTGATACAGTTGCTGCACCTGACCCGTTCTGCACCATGATGACTAAATGAGAGGAGGCATTGCAAATACTTAATTGCGAAACTGACCTAAGTAAGTACTCTATGCTTACTGGCAACTAGTATTACCAACATTCCCACTCAACCCACTCACACATACCCCCCAGTCATTCCTCTTAATGAATCTTTTCACCGTATTGTAAAAGTGTACTTTCTTAGGAATAAAAGCCATGTTATTACTGTAGCCTTTGTGTTCAGGCCCATTTTGAGCAAATAATGAAGCTGCCCATTTTTCTCTACTTTAGTGGTACAACATCGTCTCATGTCCTGCAGTGCCTTAGTTGACCGACAAAACACCTACCTAAGATGTCCATGAAAACTACTCAGAAAAAAGTCCCCTAGAAGCTCTGTTGCCTCCCCTTCTGGCCTCCATGTAAAGGACTGTGATTAGGCCCTATGATTGCACAAGCTGTCTCCAGCTACTCATTTATAGGACAGCCTCTTAAGGTCAGTTGGAACAATGCCTCACTTGCTCTGCAACTCCAGCTTCTGACAGACTAATATCACAGGATCTGGTCCACAGCAGTGAGTCTACTGTTGGCCTTACATATGGTAGGAGCAGATACCCAGCCAGAGTGCCTGAAACACTAGGTCCTTTTGCACAAGCTTAAGCAGACATTCCTATCAAACAGGGAAGCAGACGCAACACATCTCATGCATGGTGCCTCAGCCTGCACCTGTCTCCCACTGCAGACTTCAAGTAAAATCTGTTCCAATATTTCAAAATGTTCCAGTCTGTGATTAAAGTTCAACCACATAAATATTCAAGATCCCTTTGTGGAGGGGAATAAAAAGAATATGAAAGAGTTTACTTTAAGGTTCAAGTGGGACATTGAGGCAGGTTTTTGTTTGGAGTAATAGATTTATTAGAGCAGTTATTGATGTCCTAGACATGCAGAGGCAGCACGGCAGACACTGAAGAGACTACAGCTCTGTGTGGCAGAGTTGAGGTATGCATAGCAAACAGGAGTTCCTATGCAACACGGTAGCTTAGTAGCCTATAGTATGTGCTTGACAGTCAGGCTGTCTCCGTTTCTTATCTTGGAATTTGGGGGAGTCTTTTCATGATACCAGAGAAATCAAGGTCCCTCACTTGGGATTCAGAATGATTTAAATGGAAGCTTGAGAACAATTTTATTACTCTACAAAGAAAAATCTCCCAAGACAGGTAAATCTCACGAGTAGCCTGAAGGAGTAAAATGGAGAAGAGAAGGATAAAAGCCATGTTTGGATTACTGGCATGGAGGTCCATCGTGTAGCACAGGGCAGCCACATGGCAAGGAGCCAGGTTTTACAGAACAGTGAGGGAAGCCTAACACAACAGAGTAAAAGGCACAACTAGGTAAATAAAACCTCAAGAACTAATCTTTCCTAAGGATTTTATTCCCCCTCATTTTCCCAGTTGTCAGCAACTAAAACTGTTTTAGTTCCTATATTTAACCTCTGCTTATCTTCTTCCTTCATTATAAGCCCCTAGGAGTAATGGTCATTTCTTCTCATTACCTCACTTCTTGCCTCCGGTGGCCAGCCCCTCTGCACTCAAACACAACACCAGGTCTTTAGAAAATAGCTCACACAACACCCAGTCTGTCAAAAGAATGCTCAGAAAGGGCATTAATGTTCCTCCTATGAGGCTCACAGGCTACAAACTCTAATACTCATATGTGGTCAATGAGCTAAGTTCTCAACAGTAGCAGTGGCAGCGCCCTGATTCTTCCAAACCTGGTTTACCTGTGTCTCATGAACAGTTAACTAAATGTTGTGTTTTGTTGTTTAAAAACAACAAGGATGGGCAGAAGCATAAAAACATTCATTTCAAAGCTTCCAGCTGTTCAGTTTTCACTGAAGAAAGAGACCTGAACTTCTCTTCGAAACTGTTTATTTGTTCCAGGAAAGCCAATTTAATTCCTGCTATGTAAATGTAAAGAAAAGCCCTTTTACTGTTCAGGGGCAAGCTGTAAAAGTAACCTACATTCTACTGGTTGACAGGGAGGAAAAGGTTTAGGGTAACTTGGGGCAGCTCCTGGCAGAGCTGCTTCTGAAGCACTGTGGCTTCCTGGAGAAAGGAAAGAGCCCAGGGAGATGAGCCCTGATGCTTTCTCTAGCTCCTCATCAGAGGTTCCAGAAACCTGAGAACTGAAGGAAGGGCACATAGTGATGGCCAGTCTCCACTCCCCAGAGGAAGGCCTGGGAAATCCTGAGTGTGGTTACAATTGAGTCTAAATTTCACTAGAGCAGATGCTAGGTTAATTTTTGCATTCTGGGTTAAATATTGAGTGTGATGAAGAGATCCCAGTCTCATGGCTGGGAGAAGGGATGCTCCATGAGATTTGATCATGCACCACATAGGAGTACGGGGTCTTTAGAAACAGAAACATCATTTTTTTCCCAGCCTTGGTTTGGGGAGCTCATGTTCTCAAATGGTAGCTGACCTGGACCTGGTAAGGAGGCTCATTTGATGGAGTTGCAGTGTAGTGTTTGCAGTCTGGAGTACCCATGCTTCTGAACACCCTTCCCTGCTTACCCATTTCCACCAGTTTCCCATATCTCATTCCAATTCCAAACCATTCAAACTCCCCCAATCTCAATTCCGATGCCACAAGTCATCTGATTTGTCATCAGCACTCTGCCCTGATGGATGAGTCACTGGAGAGTAGAACTATCTTACTCAAGGCAGGAGAATGTATCTGCACCTGGAACCCCACCCCCCCATACACACAGGCATTTACAGTAGTTAATGAAAGCTGACAGGTTGAACT